TTTAAATTATTAATAATAATAAGTGGTTTAAGTTAATAAACAATAATTTTAAATGATAATAACATCAAATAAAAAATTATGTAACGTTAGTTACAAATAAATTGTATTCTAAATGATCATCATTATTGAGATTAGAAAATAATTGCATAAGTAAAAATTTTTAATTAATCAATAATAATATTTTTTATAAATAATACTAAATAGATAATTATATTTAATTATATTAATGAGGAAGGTGGGTTGATATCAATGAATAATATTGTTCAAAATAGTTGAGATTTTATATATATAATTTAGTGTAAAAATATTATGTCAAAGTTAATGTCAATAAATAACCATTTTAAACATATATTTTTCAATATTATAACAATCTATTTTTAACATGCGTCACACAACGCGCGGGAATTCGTCTAGTAAGACTTATAAAATTAGAGGTAGCTCGAATTTTTAAACTGTAGACCGATGTATAAAAAAAATTCTAGAACGATTTTCAGCAACGGGAGTCGGGAGATTAGGGTCTGGATTTAGTTTGCCTTTATCGGACCACTGTACCAGGCCATAATATTTGGGCTTCAGAAAAAAATTTATATACTAATATCAATATTATTTGGCCAAGATTGAAACTCAACTAACATTATAAATTTGAGATTAAAATAAGAACAAAATTAGTTACTACAATTATATATCTTCAACAAAATGAATACATTTGTTATAACCATCAAGATTGAGACAAAGATCAAGGATCCAATTGGAAAAATGAGAAAAACTAAGGGCCAAAAATTCATTTTCCAATGTTGAGTAGATCCTTAGCCCTAACTAGCATGCGATTCACAAATTCACTATTCAAAGCATATCATAAAACATGTGTGGGTATTTTGGGAAAACTCACTTGAGCTCGGTCGATTGCATGCACCACGTCATTTTTCTTTTATTAGAAAAACTTTTTTATAAAACATTTATTTTTAAAAAAATCTAGCAAACCCTCAGTTTGAGTTCGGACGTACCCGAGAGTATGTCTGAATCCCTCAAACTAAGGCTTTGATAACAACTTCTGACGTCCCAAAAATTAAGACTAAAAATTTTCGTTTTTAAATTAAGAAAAGTATTATCCAAAACATCATCATAGAAATCATGGTGAATCAAAGTGGATCAATAACATCCCAATACATCAGAGTAATATAAAATGCGGAACGAGGTGGTGTGTGTACTGCAATCATCCCAGACTCTTCCCCTTCGAACCAGAAGTACCTAAAAACATAAACTAAAAATTGTAAGCACAAAACTTAGTAAGTTCCTCAAAATACCACATACCATACATATAAAACATATAATGGACCCCGCCCGGCATCAAGCCCCACTCGGTAAATAGATCTACCAGTCATCAGGCCCCGCCTGACATCGAGCCCCGCTCGGTATACATACATATAAATAGGCCTGGCAATTGGGTTGGGTTCGGGTTGGCGGGTCAGAAAACATAAAATCAACCCAACTCATATAATATATGGGTTAACGGGTTGGCGTGTCACGGGTTGGTGGGTTGTATATGGGTTCGCGGGTTCACAAGTTAATGGGTCAAACCCAACCAATATAACCCTTTTAACAAATAAGCAACACATTTTAAAAAACGAGGTTTTTTCAACATAAATTCATAAAATGATTAAAGTAATTAACATAAAAAAAGGTTTTCAACATAAATTCATAAAGTCAATAACATCAAAATAAAAATGAAAAATGAAAACATTCATAGAAAGTGGATGTGTTCTTCGTTCGTGACTCGTGAAAATAACGACATGTATTTTTTCTTTTTCTGATTAACAAACCGCAAATGCAGATTAGTCACATACGAATACAGAAGGAATACAATGATACAGAATATTACGAATACGGATGGAAATCAACTTTCGTTAATAATTAAATATATCATTTTTTAAATGTAATATCTATATATATATATATATATATATATATATATATATATACGGCTTGGCGGGTTGACCCGCGAACCCAAACAGATAACCCAACCCAACCCATGAAATAAATGGGTTGGTGGGTTGGCGGGTTGACGGGTTGGCTGGTCAAAAATCTCAACCTAAACCCGTCTATTTTCGGGTTGGGTCAGTGTCGGGTTACGGGTTGGGTCGCGAGTTGCCACCCCTACATCTAAACATATCACACATAATCATACAAACACATGCAATAATCACAAAGATAAATAACATACAGGTCAGTAATCGGGCCCCGCCCGATAAACATATAAACACATAACACATGCAAGAGTCATGCAGGCAACTAGCATCCTAACATATCAAACCATGGGCCGACATTGATGCCTTCGACCGGCTAAACACAGTGAGGAAACTCACCTCTAGCTTGCCACACCCCCGAACCAGACGGCGGAAACGTCTGGGGGCTCGTGTGACTAACAATTGAATAATCATCACAATAAATATACATGAATCATAACACGATCATCACCAA